CTTCATGCTTGAAGTGAAGCCGCTGCGGGAGAGGTGCTGCGCGACGAAGGAGACTCGAGGGAGGCAACGTTGACACCAGCTAGTCGTGTCCAGCACCTAGCATATGCCAGCGGAGGCCTGGATTGGGAAGAGGAGAAATTCTTAGAAAAGCACAGCACAGCACAATCGACTGGAAGAAGCTGTGGCTCTCTCCACGCCGAATGCGGTTCCGCGTGCTGCAAGCGGGCGCACGCGCCACAGCGGCCCTCCTGCGCCACAGCATGGCTGGCTGCGAATCGTGTCATTTGCTAGCCCCTTGGCCAGTGCCAGCCAAACCCACGGGGATTCAGCCATTTTCATCCTCCCTTGCGATCCTCACTTCCTCCGTCCTTCTGCAGGCTCACTGCTCTCTTGGAGCCGGATCGGTCCTCTCTGGGGATTCAATGCCGGCCGCTGGACTTCACCCTCGTTGAATTTCCACCGCGACCGGGCCTGCAGTGGCGAATCTCGTTTCGACCGGCTGTCCTCTGCTCGCATGTCAACCGGGATTGACAGCCGACAGAACATTGGTTGGAATCATTCGGACTTCTCTTCGAATCCCCGAAGACGGTCTGCTTCCCTCTCTTCCAAAGCCGCCGCGGCTTCCGTTGAGAACCCCAGACACTCCGAGAAGTCGCCCAGGAACACTTCGTCGAGCCGTCGCAATTCCGTCATGATGGCGCAGTCTCAGAGATCGCGAATTTTCAAGACGGGTGCGATCGTCACTGCGGTGTTGCTGTTGCTGCTCTACGTTTCATCCTCGAGAAGGTCGGTCCCGGTGCTTGTTAAGGGTAAGTTGTCCTCCATTGGGGCGCAGACACAATGGGTTTGACGAAGGTCTCTAGAGCAACCACCCAACGTTCCCTCTTCGGTGACTACGAAGTGCACCAAGCCTCATGACCCGTCCAAACCCCTGATCCAATACGCATTGATGATTGATGCCGGTAGCACTGGATCTCGGATTCATGTGTATCGATTCAACAACTGCGGCCCCGCTCCGGAACTCGAGCATGAGGAGTTCCAGATGACTGAGAAGAAGAAGGGCGGATCGGGACTCAGCTCCTACAAGGAAGATGCTGAAGGCGCTGCCAGGAGCCTGGACCCTCTAATGGAAGTGGCCATGAGGACTGTCCCGGATGAGTACAAGGCCTGCTCGCCTATCGCAGTGAAGGCGACCGCCGGTCTGAGAATGCTCGGTCCGGAGATGAGTGAGAAGATCTTGGAGGCAGTACGGCACCGTTTGGAGACGGTCTACCCCTTCCCCGTCGTCTCAAGAGAGAAGGGCGGTGTCGAGATCATGGACGGCAAGGATGAGGGCGTCTATGCATGGATCACGACCAACTATCTTCTTGGTAAAATTGGAGGACCTGAAGAGACACCTACCGCAGCTGTCTTCGACCTGGGTGGTGGTTCGACCCAGATTGTCTTCCAGCCGAATTTTAACAGCAAGGCCGGCGGGATGCCCGAGAAAATGGCAGATGGAGACCACAAATACTCCCTTCAATTCGGTGGACGCGAGTTCGAGCTGTACCAGCACTCTCACCTCGGCTACGGTCTTATGGCGGCGCGTGAGGCCATTCACAAGGCTGTCGTGGAAGCCAAGCTGGCCTTGAGTCCTAAGGATTTGTCCTGGGTCAAGCAGCCGATCCCGAACCCATGCATTGGGCCTGGCATGGAGCGCCAGGTGAATCTGACCTTCGACCAGGACCACCCCCTCGGCCCCGAGATCACGGTGACGATGGTGGGCCCCAAGGAACTGTCGGCACCGGCACAGTGCCGCGGCCTGGCCGAGAAGATCCTGCACAAGGATGCCGAGTGCAAGCTGGCGCCGTGCTCGTTCAACGGGGTGCATCAGCCGTCACTGGAGAAGACGTTTGCCAAGGAAGACGTGTACATCTTTTCGTACTTCTACGATCGGACCAAGCCGCTCGGGATGCCCGAGTCGTTCACATTGGAAGAGCTGCACCGTCTGACGCAGAACGTCTGCGGCGGGGAAGACACCTGGGGTGTTTTCGAGGGCGTCGAGGGTGCTCTGGAAGCACTGCGCGACCGTCCGGAGTGGTGTCTGGACCTCAACTTCATGCTGGGGCTCCTGCATACGGGGTATGAGATGCCGCTGTCTCGGGAGGTGAAGATTGCGAAGAAGATCAAGGGCAATGAGCTTGGCTGGTGTCTGGGAGCGAGGTAAGACGACTCTGTTTCTCCTTTTTTTTTCCTCTTTGGTACTTTTCGATCTGGTAAACTAACTTGACTACCTAATCTTTCAGCTTGCCTCTCCTGGAACAAAACTCAGGCTGGACCTGCCGCGTCAAGGAAGTATCATAGTAAAAATTTTTTTTGTTTCGTCGCCAGTTTGGAGGACAAGAGTATTTGTTACAAGTACTCTGTTTTGTTCAGTGTGGAAAGAAAAAAAAATATAGTTCTCCAGGCATTGTACTGTAATTTTTTTTCTTCCGCTTTTGTTGTATAGACTTCTTTTTTTATTTGTTTGTGCCACGTTACTTTTTTTTTTTGTTTATATATACATCGTGGTATCTTGGAATTTTTTTCTTTCCCCCCATATTGACTTCATATGAGTCTACGAGAGGGGGAAAAGGGGGGGATTGCGTATCTATCATGATACTACCTCTTTAGAGGAGCTGAAGAAGTTAGCACCAGCAGGTAGTAGAGGTTCATTGTTATTATGAATTCAATCAGGTCAAGCCAGCTGGTTACAGACTTGTCCCAAGCACAGCATTTGTTTTGATGTTGGGCTGTTCCCATGAGGTTGTCCATGTACTAAATAAAGCATTAATTATTATTAGTTGTTGATATATTATTGCGATAATGAATCGGATCGCGTAGAATGCGGCGGCGGCGGCGTCGTCGTCGTCATCAGTCTACTTCCTCGATGCCTGGTTTTTGCTTCTTCTCTCGGGCTCTGTTGCCCATCAGTCGATCCAGAACATGGGTCTCCTCTTGAGCTGCCGTAGATGATTTCTCAGAGCCTTCTTCCAAGTTCTTCTCACTGTCGCTATCGTGGCCGTTGTTCTTCTTTTCTTCCAGAACTCCCAAACCCAAATTCTGTCGCGAAGAAGGTAAAAAAAATCATCCTTTAGAATCCATACATACCAATACCAATACCAACCCTGATGAAGCAAGTCCAATGATTGGCCAGGGAAGAAAAAAAGACATCATCAACGTACCATTTCAATATACTGTCCCTCATCATCCTTCACATCGTCCACGACCACGTCCTGCGCTCTTCCGCTGGCGATGTCCCGCTCGAGATCTTCATTTGCGGCCTTTAGCCGCGGCAAGAACGACGAGAGGCGCGAGAGGAGGCCGGACCTCTGCACGCGCTGGATTCGTGGTTTGGGTCGTCCGGACACGAACGGAATGGGCTCGTCCTCTTGTTCGTTATCATTATTGTTGGCGTCGCCAGTCCCCTTCAAGGCTGCGCTGGTTGCTGCTGGATTCTCTAGGTCGGTTTCATCGTCGTTCTCGTCTGAGGAGGATGATGAGGATGATGAAGAGCTCTCAGACGAGGTCTCCTCGTCGCTTTCGTCTTCCTCATCATCGTCATCCTCTTCTTCATCTTCCTCTTCTTCGCTGGAAAGCTCCTCCTCCTCCGAGCTGAGCGAGCTGCTGCTGGTTGTGTCGGAGTCAGAGCTGGTCTCCGTCTTCGTCTCCGCGGCGAGATCGGCAGCATCAGCACCACCGTCAGGCTCCGTCTCTAAACCGTCCGGCGGGGTCGTGCGCGACCGCTTCGCCGGGGAGACGACGGGCGTCGAAGCCAATGCCAGCTCATCGTGGCCACGCTTCCTGGCCATGGTTGCCGCTGGAGGGGGAGATCATGGGAGAACTGTCTGACCGGCGTGCAGTCGCGGTTTCGGCTGCGGGAGTGGAGCGGACGGGCACGGGCAGCGACTGGCCTGCCTCGCGCTGGCTGAGCGGGAGCTTAACGCGGGCAGCCAATCGCCTCGATCGCTGTGTGACTGCCTGTTTCATGTCTCTCCCCGAGCGAGGGGAGACATCAACGTCCACTCCGTGTTCTTCGGGGTTCTGTGAGTCGTATCTCCTCTGTCTCTGCGGTATTGATCATATCGTTCATCGTCATTCATTCTTTAATCGTTATTCTCGTGGACTTGGGACGGCAGGGCCGGATATCTTCCAGACTGAAGTACATAATTGCGATATTATTTATATACCGCCAAGGGTAAGTGATATTATTCAACATCGCATTTCCAGATATATATCACGTTGTTTCTTCGTTTCTTTTTGTCTTGGCACTCTTGGCCATGCTCCTGACTGCAGTGATATAATATACTACTTTGTTATCAACTAGACTATTGTTCTTCATGACCATCTATCAGGCAATTATGATATGATGCTTGAGCAGATGGTGGATTATTCATGTCTTCTGTGAATAGATCATCAGAGCTATTGTTCTAGTCATTCACTTTACAATCCCCACATCTGTGAATGCACATTTCTTGCTTGTTTTATCTCATAGCTCTCCACAACCATCAGAAACCTCCATTCCAACTTACAGCATCTATTTTGATTTCATCACTCATAAACTTCCTCTTTCGAAATGTCGTCGCTCACAGCAGCGCTGCAGGAAACGAGAGCCCGGCTAGACGACTCCATAACCAGACTTGACCAAAACCGCTGCATCATGAGCAAGCCCACCATCCAGGTCAACGGCCGCGAATCCCTCGTCAACGAGGAGAAGACGGTCAACAGCGGCAGCGGCAGCCGCAACAGCAATGACAATGGCTCAATCGCCGCGATGCGCAAGTCGCTACACCAGAACATCATCGGCAAACTACGCCCGTTACCGTTCCAGTACCGCTGGACGGTGTGGTTCGACAAGCATTGCGACTCCAACAACAATAACAGACTGTACGTCCTACACGAAGACGTCGCCGACATCGCGACCTTCTACCGCGTCTACAACAACTACCCCTGGGACAAGATCCGGCTGCGCGACTCGGTGCATATCTTCCGCAAGGGCGTGAAGCCCGTCCCGGACGACCCGGAGAACCGCAATGGCGGATGCTGGACGTTCCGCGTCCCCAAGGCCAAGAGCCAGGCCTTCTTCCACGAGATTGCCATCCTGTGCATGGCGAATGAGTTCCAGGCTGCTCTTGAGAGTGGTTCGTCTTGTCGTTCCCTCTCTACCTATGTATCTATCTACCTTGGCCAGTCTAGTACTAACAATTTATTTTCTGGCACAGAACACGACCATGTCCTAGGCGTCTCCACCTCCGTCCGCTTTAACTCCCACCTCATCTCCGTCTGGAACAAGCTCGGCTCCAACGAGCGGTCCATCAAACGCCTCGAAGCGACCATTCTGGACCGTCTCTCGCCCGAGCTGCGCCCGACGACTGCGGCCGCGGGCGGGAATTCGTCGTATTCGTATTTCTACAAACGCCACGCGGAGCACGACGAGGGGTTCCAAAAACAGGCCGATAGAAGAAGCTGAAGCGCAGAAGACGGAACCGGATTGCGATAATAATAAAGAGTCAGACACGAAGAAAGAAGAAGTGTCTGATACCAAAGAGGAGTGAGTGAGTGAGTGAGTGAACAAATATGTTATTTATGACTATGGCTGTGGCTGTGGCTGTCGGCAAGGTTCTGTATGATATTCTATCATTCCCCAAGTCATGTTATGTCATGTCGTGTCATGTTTCTTCTTCATTCGCATTTCAGGTCCCTTTTGAAAAAGTTTTCTTTTTTTCCCCTTGAATGGATTCCCGGCATCCCTGCACAGGTTGGTTAGTTCATTACCTCATTCATGACAGCATACATTTCATATCAGACTTGAACACAGCTCATTGCTAATATGATTCTACTTATTTCCATTGTACTGTACATAAGCTATTCTTGGCACTCTATCTTTGGATGATATACTTATACAGACATGTCAACATGGTGAAAATCGAAGAATCCATGTGAGACAACATTTTTTTACTACATCAGGAGGTAACTACGCCCCTCTCACGATGACGGAGACGGAGTCGGTGTTGAGCTCGCCTGCTGGAGCAGATGAGGCAGCGCCGCCCTCGCGCTCGCCACGAGCTCTGGATCCGGCTGGCTTGCATTCTCGCCATTAGTTCGCACAGACTCCTGATCAGCGGGCAGCGTTCCATTCGCAACCGCCTCGACGAGTTTCACCTGCGCGCCCCGCACCCTCGTCACGGCATTTCGCTGCGTCTCATTCAGGCCTTCGGGCGGGCCATGCTGGCACGCGATCTGGAACGGCCCATTACCGGGCTCCGGCCCCCCTGCCGAGTGCACTGCGCGCTCCACGCATCCGCCCTTGAAGAAGCTCAGGCCAAAGAACGCGTACTGCGTGTTGCGCATCACCCCCTTGAACTCGGCCTCGCCGTCGGTGTGGAACTCGTACCCGGAGATGAGGCCGCATCCCTTTTCTTGCACGAACAGCTCTACGCCGTTGCCAGCCCAGCCGTTGATGCCGTAGACTTCAAAGACCGAGTCCCCGAAGCCGTCGTCTTCAAGTATCTGGCAGCTTGCAGAGGGGACGGCGGCCTCGATGGCCCAGACGGCGGAGGCTTCTGCGGCGGCAGAGGCAGCGGATGCGGCGGAGGCGGAGGAGGCGGAGGCGGCGGAAGCGGCGGACTCGATGGCCCGAGGGCGGAGACTACTGCGGCGGCAGAGGCAGCTGATGCGGAGGAGGCGGAGGCGTAGGCGGAAGCGATGGATGCAACGGTGGAAACTATGGCGGTCGACCCCGCGCATTGGACGTGGTTGTTGTAGTAGGTGTAGGAAGCGCAGGAGACGACCTCACCGTTGGACTGGGTTGTTGTGAAAGGGGTGACGGTGACGGGGGTAGAAGAGGTCTTTGTTGGGGTTGCTCGAGATGTTGTGGTGATGGTATGTCTTACAGAGGAGCTGCTGGAAGGTGCTGAGCTTGATCCTGGAATACTGGCTCCGCTCGAGGTTGGTTGAGGCGTGATTGTGGTAGTAGCATGTCCTGTAGAGGAGCTGCCGGAAAGTGCCGAGCTCGATCCTGGAACGCTGGCTCCCCTTGAGCCAGAAGGAGAACGAGTGCTTCCGGTGGAAGCTCCTGGTACAGCCACGCTCGTTCCAGTGCTCACCGCAGGTTGGCTGCAAGAGCCTCCGGCCTGGCGTTTCTGGTTCCCAGTGTTTGCGCAGGAAGCACCTTTCTGCGAATCTTTCGCGTCCCATTCATGCTGGTACATCTGTTGTTCCAACCAGACTCGATAAATGGCTTGCTGCACCGGGTTCGGTTCCTCGCCCTCTTCAGGCTCCTGGTTATTATCATATTCAATAAGAACCTTGCTGTTAGCCCTCAACATGAAGGCCTGCTCTTGTCTCTCGTCTATTGGCTTCAAATAACCCCGAATAGTGACCGGAACTCCTTTCCAAGGAGCACCGTCCCCAGTCAGAGTTGACTCGATCAACGCGACTCGGTCACTGTAAAGAAACTGTCCAGTGTTCGGATCCTTTGGCGTCGAGATATATATCTCAACATTATTTGCAGGGTTCAATATTTGTCCGTCCGCGGCCAGTGGGAACGGGCTGGGCATCTTGGGTCCATCACCAGACTTGATTGCATCGATGACCTGTGACTCGAACTGCGCGTCATCACCTTCGAATGATGGGCTTTCCCAAAAATGGCTGAACCATACTCCCGCTTCCGAGATGATGACCACTGAGGTACAGCCAAACAGTCCGGTAACATAAAGCTTCTCGGGAGTCGTAAGCCAGCTGCTGGTTACAGCGCTTGAAAGTTTCCCTGAGTGCCGGTGCTCAAGCTCTATCTTCACCCCATCAAAGGATTCGACTAACAATACCGTCAGTTTTCGAAATGTACGAGTCAATGTAGAGATTAACACTTACTTTGGTCCATGACATACTGATCCTTACTATCAAACCAGTCGGGGTCAGGCAAAGTCCGCTCCTCCAGTGGCTGGCCACGCCTGGCTTTGGTCGTGGGGATGGGGCTCGAGCACGCCGCACAATCGGTCGCGCAGACAATCCCGCCGGAAGATGTGCTGGTCGAGACCGTGGTGGTTGTCGTAGTCGCTGAAGCATCGCACGCGGTGATGGTCGTACACGCGGTTGTCGTGATCGTCTCCACTGTCGAGCTCACGGTGGCTCCGGAGAAGAACGACGTAGAAAGAGAGATAGTTTCGGTGCATCGTGGAACTGCTGTGCTCGCCGTACATGATGACGACGCTCGTGTTGAAGACGCTTCGGACTGGGACGGGGAATTGGTCGGGTTCTTTTCCGCATTCTGCAGGTCTTGACCGATATCATTGAGCGTATCTGTGAGAAGCTCAATCTCCGGGAGGGATGGCTCAGACGCTTCAACGGCATTGACCAGATTGCCGACCACCTCGGTCGCGCAACTGATGAGTTTGGAGACATCCCCGATCAGATCGGTCAGCCCGGAGATCAAACTCCTCTTGATCTTCGTGTGAGAGCACGCGGGATCCGCTGGAGGCTGGACAGATAACGAATGGAAGAGGGCCAAGGTTTCATCTTGGGTTTTCTTGACGTCGTTGACATACTCGGCTTTCCGCTCGGGATCAGTGATGTATTGCCTGTTCGCGTAGAGGGCGAAGAATAATCCCGACAGGTTTGCCGCTTGCGAAGTGGCTGCTGCACCGGTGATGGTCGTTGTCGGGGCTTCATAGGAAGGAAAGGCTTCCGTAGGTAACGTGGGCGTGGCACTCCATGTGCCGCTGTAAGGAGCAGCAGACGCAGGACTCGAAAAACTTCCTCCAGTGGTAGAGCTGACAGCTCCCAAAGAGGCAGAACTTGAGCTGGCACTAGTTCTGAGAGGGGTTGAACTGAAAGTGCTTATGCCAGTTGGATAAGAGACAGAGCTTGAGGCGCTGACACCAACTCCCACCGAGGTAGAACTGGAAAAGCTTGTACCAGTTCCATGAGGAATAGAGCTCGAAGCGCTGGCACTAGGTCGAGGGATTGAACTGGAAGAACTCTCTCCAGTTTTGACAGGGATAGAGCTAGAGCCGGCGCTAGGGGTAAGAGGTATGGAACTAGAAGGGTTTATCCAGTTCCACGAGGGGTAGAGCTCGAAGAACTGGCACCACTTCCAGGGATTGAGCTGGAAGAGCTCTCTCCAGTTTTCACAGGAATGGAGCTAGAGCCGGTGCTAGGTGTAAGAGGTATGGAACTAGAAGAGCTTCTCCTAGTTCCACGAGGGGTAGAGCTTGAAGAACTGGCACCATTTCCAGTGATGGAGCTGGCGCTAGTTCGAGGGATTGAACTGGAAGAGCTTGCTCCAGCTTTGGCGGGGATCGAGCTTGAAGAGCTGGGGCCAGAAGACCTTGCTCGAGACGCAGAGGAGCTGCTGATGGAGACGCGAGGTCGTCTCGACGTTGACTGACTGGACGGCGCAGGAACACTGCTGGCCCTGGAGCTGCTAGGTTGGTATGGCGGCGAGGTTGATGACGAGTTGCCCGGGGTCAGGTATGGCGCGCTGGAGGGAATCGCAGCCCATTGCCATGGCGAAGAGAAAGAGTCAGAGCCGGAAGCTGTTGAAGCGCTGCTGACATCCCGTTGCGGAAAGCGCGCTGGAGATGCTTGGGATTGCGGAAGGAGCGAAGGGAGCAGCAGAAGGAAGACCGACCAGGGAGCCATTTCGCGCTGGCAGAGGCGAGGTCAACGCACGCCTGGAGAGTATGTACATGTACAGACATCCCCTGGCAGCGCCATTCTGTGGATTTAAAGAGCTGCAGCCCGTCCGCTCCAGCCCCCTGACGATTGACGTGCTGCTGACAATGGTGCTTCTGGGATAGAGCTTCAAGATGTCACTGTCGCTTCGTGACGCGCGTCCCAACAGCGGTACGATGACTGCCTTCCACTCCACGCGGTTGGAACTCAACTATCTAAGTCTGATGATTTGTTGAAATTGGAGAGTATGTTGGTTTGAAGGGGTTATTCTGATCGGTCCAATGTTGGCTTTTGGCCCCGGCCCCCATAGCTTACGCGGTACATTTCCATGCAGCCGCCAGCCTTATTTTTTTTTATTTTTTTTTTCATTCTCCATCGGTTTTTACATTGCGGGAGCATTATAGATGATCAATCGCTTGTGAAAATTCGCGCATGGGTACATGTCTGTGCCGGTATTCCGGGCATAAAGATAGTGACCGTGGATGGGGGACTTGGGCTCAAGTCATAGTTAGGGTTAGGGTTCTACGGAGTATAATCTACCTACCAACGGAGGTTATGTAGTCTTCCTAATTAGGAAAAGATAAGCTACTTTGCTAGTATATTAAATGCTTAACCTCTATTGTCTCTGCAGTCTTCTTCTTCTCTTCCCAGCACAAATCGCAGTTGGATTGTTGATTGATTCGATTCATATTGCCTGAGCCGTGCACATACAGCTCGCTCAGATATTCGGCACTTCTCACGTGAGCTCCGTCATCTCGCTGTTTGTTGTTTATCAATCTCCATCAGTATCTAATCGGGATCCCATATTCAAGCCGACACGATGACTCAGGACAGCTCATCGGCCAGCACAAGACCTCAGGCCAAACCTCCTCACCCCCGCGTCATCATCAATGTCGGCTGTAAAAACAACTCCATAGAGGAAGTGGCTCGAGGCCTCCGCCTCGCCTCCTCGCCCGACGCCTACCGCGACCTCGTGCGCAGGGCACTCTTCACCGCAGTGTACCACGGCTCCGCCCCCGTGACGGAATACCTCATCACTCAAGAAAACGCGCCCCTGCACACCCTCAGCCCGCTCACAGTCGCCACCTCGCCCTCGACGGAGCTTTTTTCCGTCCTCGTCTCCCACGGCTGGGACATCAACCAGCGGCGCGCGGATCACGGCGCGGGCCGCGGTCAACGCCTTCTCGACCTCATTTGCAGCGACGAAGCGTTGGTGCGCTGGTGTCTGGAGCACGGGGCCTCGGTGGAAGACGACCCGGACGCTGACTGGTATACGGCTCCGCCGCTGCTGGAGACCGCTGCTGCGGTGGGGACGCTGAGTACTTTTAAACTGCTGCGTGAGCGGGGCGCACAGCTGGGGAGGAGGACACTGCACAAGGCTGTTTCGGGCGCGGCACACAGTAAGGATTCGATGGAGATCGTGAAATATCTCGTCGATGAGCTAGGGATGGATGTCAACCAGATGGATACGGACGGCAAGTTGCCGGATCACTGGGGGCCGCCGCTTTGCTATGCGGCAAAGTGGAGGGATGGAGGAGAGGAGGTGGTACGATTCTTGCTCGAGAGAGGAGCAGATCCGACTATCAAGGACTGCTGCGGGAATCATGACGCTTTCAGTCTAGCCGAGTTTACTAAAAATGAAGGGGTGATGAAGGTGCTGAGAGAGTGGAGGGAGCAGAGGGAGCAGAAGGAGCAGAAACAGGGAGGATAGATCTAAGAAGAGGTGATTTTTCCTGGACAATGACGACTGCAGGGAAGATCCCCTTCGAATTTTCCATCTCGACTCGAAACCATCGACCAAGACAACGACTGCACAATCTGATGATATAATAGTGCGGTTATATTTGATCATCCCGTGAGGCACGAACAGTCTGGCCAAGGACTGTGATGCCCGACACACACAGGGCTGCAGCAGCTCTTGTCAGGAGGATATTACTCCATTATCCTCTCGAGAACTGTCTTGGGGTATACTGCCACTGCCACAAGCCTTACAGGTCTTGCCGTGCTCGAATGATCTGAAGAGGAAAATACCTGGTCTATGTCGAGAGTCTACTACTCCCCAGGCGATCTTCCCACCAATGTGTATTTCTCACCATATATTATTCCTCATCCAATATTTTTTTTGGAGGTAGATTGTTGAAGAAGTAGAAGACACGAAAAAGAAAACGAGCATGTACGAAGGTCAAAAAAAAAAAAACAAAAACAAAAACAAATCGATATCGATATGATATCCAGGATTCTAGGGAGCAATGCAATACAATACTGTCAATCATCCACGGAACGCGCACTCCTTCAAAATGAATAAACGAATAGGAATAAATATCCTCTACAAACTCAGGAGACATTAGTAGCAATCCTCCTGTTAATAGATGCACACGTGTGTACAGTACAGTACATACTGCATCTATTGTCATTGTCCTCATCTCTGAATAGATAGATAAATAGATGGATAGATGGATGAATGGACGAATGGATACCATATTTATCAATAAATAATATCTAGCCTGGACGAGGAGAACAAGGTCAGTAGTATCATTAACATCATCATTATTATACATTTATTTATTATTGTACAGTACATCTATTTTTGACAGGTTCTCCTTAGTTGACATGATTCTAACATCACCGACTGCTGCTCCGGTGGTGACTGCTTCTTCTGGTATCGTCCTCTTCATCCCTATCTCTCTCTTTGTCCCGGTCCCTGTCCCGGTCCCTCTCCCGGCTCCGGTCTCTGTGTCTCTCCTCTCTGTCTCTTCCCCGGTCAGTGTCTCTATCCCTGTCTCGATCTCGCTCCTCATCCTTGTCCTTTTCTCCTTCCCTTTCCCTCTCCCTTTCTCGGTCACGGTCGTGGCTACGGTCACGATCGCGATGGCGAGAACGACTGCGAGAACGAGAGCGAGAGCGAGTCCGAATACGAGAGCGAGAACGAGAACGGCTGCGCTCACGATCCCAGTCCCGGTCCCGGTCCCGGTCTCTATCTCGGCCTCTTCCCCCAGGAATATACCGATCGATCTCGACAAACCGTGGCCGATCATCTCGATCCCTGCCCGGAGAGCGGATGCGACGACGGGGCGATCGACTGCGGTTGCTGGTCGGAGGCACATAGCGGTCAATCTCGAGCTGGCTGGGCGACCGCGACCGTCGTCGGGAACGGGATCGCCACCTCGCAGGGCGAGAGTACGACCGATCGCGATGGCTTCTCCGGGTGCGAGAGCGCGATTCAGACCGCGACCGTGACCGCCGGCGATAGCGGCCATACGAACGAGATCGTGAACGGGACCGGGAGCGCGAGTAATAGCTGCGGCGGCGGCGGTCTTCTCGGTCTCGATCTCGGTCCCTACCCCGATCCCTATCCGTATCGCAGGAGTGATCACGGTCGCGGCTGCGATCCCGATAATATCGATCCCGACCTCCGTACCGATCATACCCGCGGTCACGATAGTACCGATCCCGATCCCGATCACGGCTGCTTTCTCGGTCTCTATTGTAGCCCCGTACGGTAGACCGACTGCGGCTGCGATGACTCGTTCTGTGACTTCTGTCGTCCCTATAGTCGCGAATCGAGAGTCGGTCATCGGCATCACGATCTCGAGCTCGCAGAGATCCGTCCCGCGATAAATCTCTGCTGTCGCGTCGACTTTCTCCATCGTATCGAGATGATCGTCTGGTACGAGACCGACTGCGGCTTCTGTCGCGGCCATCACGTCGCCTCCAATCATGCTCACGAGATGGACTCCGAGTCTCCCGAGGTTTTGCTGTCGCTGGCGTGACTGAATACCTCGACTCGGTGCCACTCTTGGGACGAGGCGGAGGCTTGCGGCCACTTTCAATAGCCTCTGCCTCCTCAAAGTCAAATTCGGGCTTCTGCCGTGCTTTTGCCGCCATTTCCTCGCCTTCTTTCAGGAGCAACTGCAGCGCAGTCTCCTCCAGGGTCTTGTCGTCGACAGGCTCCGGTGGAGGAGGAGTCGGATCCTTCGGTGTCGGGGAACGTTCTCTTCTCCAGTCCCGGTAGCGAGAAGAATCACGGTAGCGGGAAGAGTCACGGTAGCGGGAGGATCCTTCATAACGATCATAGCCCCGTGGACGCTCATAATCACGGTCACGGTCGCGGTCACGGTCACGATAACGATCATAATCTCTGTCTCTATCTCGATCCCGATCTCTTTCGCGCTCTCGATCCCGCTCGGATTCTTCTCGTCTCCTCCGCTCGTACCGTTCCTGTCTTTCTCTTTCCCTTTGCTCGTCAAGCGCCCGTTGCTCCTCCCGTATGCGCTCCCGCTCAGCTCGTCTCCTTTCTTCGCGCTCTCTCTCCTTCGCTCTTTCTTCTTCCTCCTTCTGTCGTTGGATTTCGCGCTGTCTGCGCTCTTCCTCTGCTCTGGCTCTGGCTTCTTCCTCTTCCCGACGTTTCTGCTCCCGAAGAGCTTCCTGTCTTGCCCTTTCACGTTCCTCGCGCTTTTGCCTGACGTAGCGTTCGTAGTCCTCATCCGTCTTGTTGCCGGCTGCCTCCTCTCGCGCAGCGACTTCTTCCCCGACTTCCTGTCGCCGAATGTCCCTGATTGATTCCAGCATGGATTCCAGATGACGGGATGCTATCGACTCGATAGCGCTCTCGACAGTTTTGTAGATGTCGCTTCGATCGACAGCGCCTTCGATCAAGGTGGCTGCTTTTCCTCGCTCGCGTGACAGGTGAGCAGGTTCCCGGTCAATTTCCGCTTCTGCAAGCTCAATGAGAGACTTTGTGAACGTGTTTTTGGCCTCCTATTCTCAGCGCAGACAAGTAAGCACAAGTCTCGTCCAACCCAGCGTAAATTTGGGGACGTAAATGGTAAATAGAACGACGAGCGAGGATGCAGTGATGCCATACCGACTCATTGAACTCTGCCCAGATTTTCTTCCTGACATTGTCAAAACAACCCTTCTTCTTGAACGCTTTCAGAAGATTCTCAATCGCGGCATGCTGCGCGACAGACAGAGGCAGATCCTCTGTCTTGAACTTTTTCTTCTGCAGGCTCTCGATGTCCAGGGCCGGCCTTTTGGAGCCGGTGGTCGGCGCTTCTGCGGATGCCGTTTCTTCTGAACTCGCCATGACGGCGACAGCGTAGGATTCGAACAGACGCGGATCGAATAACTCTCACATGTCCTCTTCACACTGCTAGACGCGTTCAGACACCTTTCACAGGGCCACTGCTGCAAATGCGATGCGCGTTCGGCTGCGTTAGCGCCTGCTCCAGCCTCCAGCAATAATAATGATAATAACAGCTCCGCTGGAGATATCGTCCGGCAGAACCGTTGTTCCGGGCGGTGAACCCGTCCCGTGCGCATCATTGGACGACGGGTGTTTAGTTTGCGCCAACGCTGATTCGCTGCGGCTCGACAACGGAGGACAGGAACTTCCGAACGTCCATCCAGCATCGACCTCGACCACCACCTGCCATCGACCCCCGCCGCATTGCGCCCCGGCAGGGCTACAATTCTCCTCAAGCATTGGTGCTCTGGCTGCAGAGGTTCAGAGGGCCTTTGACGAACCGGTTGCATTCGCATTGCTTCCCTCATTTCCTTGGAATTATTGAACGGCGCGTCCTACCGCTATCGCCTGAACCATGGTGCACAAAGTCCTCTTCTGGGGCGGCTTTGGTACGTTGACTCCCCGCTGAGCTCTGTTTTTGGCGTGCATCGCTTCAATACTGCCTCAATTTGCGAAATCCTGCGACATGAGCCTTGCAACAGCCCGCCATGACTGACACAGTTACGTAACAACAGGCATCGCCGTCCGACTCTGGCAACTCGGCATTGAGATGCGCCCCCTGCTCAACAAAGAATCCCTCTGGGTGTACCCCCTTTTCGCGGGCGTCGGCGGAAGTTTCGGATACTGGCTGCAGGGCGTTGAAGAGAGACAATTGAAGATCCTGGCACAGCGCCGCGAGGCTCTGCTGGAGAAGCGACGAAGACGGGACGAGCGAGAAGCCCTGGCGAGCAAGACGGAAGAGGGTGGAGTTCTGGCTGCGACGTCTTAAAGGGGCAGAAGGCGCTGAGTGATTAGGCGGATGGACGGAGCGAAGGCTACGTGTGTAATTCTCACGATCATCCCGGGTTAATAGAAGAGGGGAAAATCGAAACTCTGCATCAAGAATTCGATAGCGGAGGTGACTCGAGGGGAGTTCCCTTTTTTTCTTCTCCCCCGAGTTTATTGTGATATTTGCATTGTAACTATTGAGTGAATTCGATTTGTTTTACAGCGTGTGGTCGTTTTCAATTTCTGCCTTCTGCCTAATTATCTATCTGGTTACTATTTCTTGCCATCTTCCCTGTCGTATTCCTCCTAATTTGTATAGAGTAAAAGTGGACCTGGGCTGGTAGGCAAAGCGGCTTAAGGATGGCTGATTTCTACTACATTGTAGAATGATCTGTGTCTGCAACTTTGTCTTTTACGGAGACGATCATGCTTCCTTTACGATAGTAGAATAATACTCTATATGTATGTGAATCAAGGAAATTGCCATTTACATTTATACTTATGTCCGCTCTACCGTTAACTGGAGTGATACCTCCCATCTCTGACCCCCCGAGCCATATCCTCCTCCTAACCGATTCTTTATCAAGCTCGAGATTCTTTCACGCAGTCGAACCAGGCTCTCCTCCGAGCCCGAAACCCGCAATTTCAGATTGGCCATGCAGAGGCCATAATGAACCTGCCAGAACCTTGCGTCATCGATGGCAGATACAGACGGATCCGATTCGATGTCTTTCATCACATCACTGACACCGCGACCCGAATACGACATGAGAAGCATCGACCCCAGCGTTTTCACGAGACGAAATCCAAGAACACACATGGAAACGGCCATGGTGATGGACAATACTCGGTCCAGCCATTGGTACAGCTGGATGGAGAGCAGCGGTAGTAACAGGAGGATCGCAGAACATGAGAGAGTCAGAAAGTGGGACGGATTGCTGAGAACAGACGGCAGCGACTCGATATAGGCAAACCGCATAGCCTTGCCGATCCGAGCGTGGTTCTTGAGTCCAATCGCGGAAATCAATGTCGAGCCTATGGCAAAAACCGCCGTAATATCGACGCTCCCCAGGGACACGCGCTCGTGGGAATGGGAATGGTGAGGCTCGTGACCAGAAGAAACTTCAAGCCAGTGCTGCAGATTATGGGATATGAGATCCAGACCCATGAACAGAAGGAGCACCGATAGTGCGAATCCAGCCAGCACTTCTGCGCGCTCCAGGCCGAACGGATGCCGAATGCTGGACCGCTTCCACACTTCAAAGTTGCCCAGGACATCTACCGCAACGCAGAGCAGAGCTCCCAGCGAGTCGAACAGAATCAGATGTGACAGTGCCGTCATGGCCAAAGAACCCTGGGCGCTCCATAGCGTGTATCCCGCCACGAACATATGGCATACGCTCCACCAGAAGCGGGTGTTCTGTTCCTTAGACATACTCCCTCGACATTCCTTCAGGGTTGGTATCGGTAAAGAGTTCGGCAGAGCCAAGGGAGCCCTTGGCGGCGGCTCGAGAAAGATCTGATGAGAGATGCTACTGTGCTTGTATTTATGGCCGCGTCTCTGTCCAATATTCTGGGCACTTTTGTCAGCACGGTATCGAGCGAGCAACCACCACACACGTGTGTACATACCGATTTCAGCACCGGACCCTTGGCTAAAACCGTGGGCTGGAAGTTGAACGGATTCGGCTCTCCATTGCCGCTGCTGCTCCCGCTTGCCGGGGAGTCACCAGACGTAGAGCCGAACGTGGGGCTTTTTGGAGGATTCATTCCCCCAGTCTCGGGGGAGCCAGCTGCCGGCGACATCCTATCTACCATCGGGGAGAGCGAATTGGGATCGAAAGACGGCTCTGAGGGGGCATTGTCCAGCACTGGCGAGTCGTCAGGCGGCGGGGTTGGCGTTCGTGGAGGCTGAGGGATTGGGAGGCTGGAGGCCATGGCAAAAGGACTGGGAATGCGCACGTGCCTGTTCGATCCCCCTTATCCTGTTCAGCGCCTCGCAGCACCGAGAATGGCGGCGAGCTAGCGATCAGGAGCAAGCGGAGACGGCGTGATGATCGCGGAGAGTAGGTCCGGGTGGCTCCGCCTTAGTGGCAGACTAAGGCCTCTCAGCGTCATCGCTCCGCTGGCTGTCACCGCCGCCCCTCCGCATCCATCGACCAGGCTGTTATCTATCTGTTCTCTCAGTCGGCCATGCACCGCCCATCCGAGCCCTTCTTCCGTCTCTGGTCCTAGAGGAGCCCCTGCTGCGATGTTCTGCTGGCGTTTATGGATAACCGCGGTTCTTTCGTGTTCCTCCTCATCGCTCTCTATCTCCTTGTCAGCTCCCAGGTCCGCGCGCCGCTGATCGACCATGATAGAGAGCATCAGCGTCAGGTTGCAGACGAGCAGCACGCGCTGCATCTTTTGAACGAGTCCCGATACGGAGATTTCGATCCTCGAGCCGATCGATGGCTTCCCGTCGCCGGTCTAAGACAGAATGACAGCTATTCCTGGGACCTACTGCCGGACGTCCAGCAGAAAGCACGGCGCGACTTGCGCTTCGCACTTGACAAGGCGGGACTACAGATTCCGGTAGCGTTGGAAAACCCAGAGGAAGCGTCGTCGGTGAACTTGACCCAGATCTCTCTGCCGGTCTACCGCAATGTTACAGGGAAGCTTCGGGGAGACTGGGTGCGGCCAAAGCCGGATGATCCTGTGTCATCCCATCGCTCTCACCTGAATGTCACAGCCCTTGTCCTTGAAAACGACTATGTTACCCACGAGTTTGGCCTCAATGTGACTGGTGATACTGGAACGCTATACTTGGACCTCCATGAGGGAGATGGGGAGGAACTCTTGCAAGAGCCTCGCCACGTTCGAGAGATCCGTGCAGATCTGGCAATAGAAAGTGGGAGCTCTCTCGGCAATACGTGGTACATGTCGTTGTTTGGGGTTCACTTCCCAGAATTGGGGGAAGTTATTCTGACCACGACAAGCGAGAAATTCGGTGGCATCTTTTCCTTGCCACACTTTGCACTCTCGCAGGACACTTTCGATATCTCCCACCAGCTCCTCATCAAATCCCTCTCCGATACGATTACAGAGAAGCAAAATAGCCCGCCTACCTTCTTCCCCTGGTCTTCCCTTCCTCATGGGTCGCAAGCGATGTCGTTTCCCACCCCCAAATGTGAATACATCATTTACCTGCAGCAGCATCCGATCATGCTGCATGGCAGCCTGGCAGAGCCGGGTGTGATTGAGCAAATCGAAGATGAACTCAGATTTCCAATGGGAGCTCCAATTCCATCCCCTCCCCTGATGGAGATGTCGGCAGTCATATTCTCACCAGACTGTGGCATCGTTCTGGAGACGAAAGGCGCACCCGAATATCCTCCCACCGATTCCCTCTATCTGGTGGGTCCCAAACAGGAAGAGTACAGTAAATATGCGTCGCGTCTGGTCTACGCCATTGCCGGTGTGACTGTAGCTCAAATATACCTGCTTTTGCGTCAGATCAAGGAAGCTTCCACGCCATCCACCAGGAGCCGCATCAGTTTCTACACGATTGCGATGATGGCAATTGGCGATGCAGTTGTGATTATCTTCACCTTATTATCGCTGTTCAATGACACATCTTTTTTAGTCCTGACGGCGACTGCTTTTCTAGGATTTCTGTCTGTCAGCTACATAGGAATGAGGTTTATGATGGAAATCTGGTCCGTTCAGGCACCTGAAAGACGGGAGCAGGACCGCCAGACGCAATCGCAGACGACAAATACGCGTCAGGAAAGTCAGGCCCCTCCGGCCACTTCAGCGAGAGCTGTGAACTCTGGGGCGACCCCGATTATCCTGCCACCCGATCAGGATGAACCGGAAGACGAATTGCCTATGCCCAATCAAGGGAACACGCAGCAGAGACAGTCGGATAACGGCAATGACGTCGGAGCCATGTACGCCCGATTTTACTTCATTCTGTGCTGCCTCCTCATCCTCTCGCTCTGGTCGCTTTTGTGGCCGAATCGCGTAGGTGCGATATACGCAAGGGTTCTTGGTTTCATTTATCTCTCCTTTTGGACTCCTCAGATCTACCGCAACATCATGCGGAATTGCCGCAAGGCCCTGCGGTGGGATTTCGTCATTGGCCAGAGCATTCTTCGCCTGTTTCCTTTTGTCTACTTCCTCACTGTACGAGGGAACGTCCTTTTTATCCGCCCCGATTCTACGACGGCTTTCGCCATGGTCGGCTGGGTTTGGTTCCAAGTCTGGGTGCTTGCCAGCCAGGACATCCTTGGCCCGCGTTTCTTTGTCCCCAAGGGCTGGGCGCCGCCGGCATACGATTACCATCCTATTATACGAGACGCCTCCGCTTCTGGGTCTGGCGAAGACGTCGAGTCCGGCACAACATTGCCGATTGGCTTTCTGCGCGCTGAGGAACGGGACGCAGCGAGCAGCGCTCGGGACAGCGACAAACCGCGGCCCAAGGACAAGAAGAAGAAGATCTTCGACTGTGCGATCTGCATGCAGGATATCGAAGTCCCCGTGGTGACGGCGCCCGGTGGGATTGCCGGGAGCAGCGTGGCGGACGGTGCGACTAGCATCCTGGGCCGCCGCGCGTATATGGTGACGCCATGTCGACATATTTTCCACAGCACCTGTCTGGAGAGTTGGATGAGACTGCGGCTGCAGTGCCCGATATGTCGGGAATCTATTCCCCCTGTATAGAGGTTTTTTTTTCTTGTTTGTGTGGATGGATGGATGGATGGGTAAACATAGGTGGTTCATTCTCCTCTTTTGTATAGATGGGTTTCTAGCGAGGAATTTATTATTTGGATATGGGTAAACCGGTCTAAAAAAAATGTTTTTGTAGAATTAAAGTAATTACTATTCCAACAATAGCCAATTCCTGTTGAAATCTTGGCCGTGTACAGTACAATCATCATCGGCAACCCCTGACGTGATCTACATACAAGCCCGGACAAGATAAAGATATTGCAGACTGACCAACTGCGTCATGACAACTTATATTCTTTCATCTCTCGAAGGGAAAAATGTCTGTCTTTCCTCTCTAGTGCTCGTTCTCACCAACAGACTCGAGATAGGCAGCCTGATCCATCAAATTCTCGAGCTCGGACGAGTCGTTGACCTGGATCTTCGCGATCCAGCCCTCGCCCTCGGGGCTCTGGTTGATGATCTTGGCGTTGTCCTCGAGCGCGGTGTTGCCCTCAATGACCTTGCCCGACACAGGGGCCAGGACGTCCGAGGCCGACTTGACCGATTCGACTGCTCCGACGGGCTCGCCGGCGGCCACCTCGAGGTCGGCGCTGGGAAGCTCGACGTAGACGACGTCGCCCAGCGACTTGGCCGCGTAATCCGTGATACCGATTTTGGCTGCGGGAAGTGAAAAAAAAAAAGGAATTGTCAGCAGGCGCATGCAAGTTGCGAATTATCTTTTTTGTCCCAATGGGTGGGTGGAAGGGAAAGATGATGTACCGGTGCCGTCGTCCGCCAGCTCTATCCATTCGTGCGATTCAGTGTACTTCTTCGCCTGCCCTGGACCAATTGATTTGCATTAGGAATTATTATCGCCATCTGAGTACGTCCTCAGACCAGGAAGCCTGGGAAAGGTGTGATTCCGTACATAGTGAGCTCCGAGAGAAGCTCCTGATGTTCCCCGCGGGGAAGCATGACGCAGGCGTGACCCGGCCGGCCGTCACAGGGAGTCTCTGAGCGAGGACTCGAGAAGCGAAGGGGCGCGCAATTCTCGCAGCGAAAGACATTTTGACGAGAGCGGTTGGAGGAGTGGAGGGGCGACGTAAAAGGGGAGGAGGAATGGAGGTTTGGAAGATGTAATGGGAAAAAAAAAAGCCGGAGTACTTAAGCTGTCATGCAGGGCTGCTTCCCCGTCGGTCGGGATGCGGGAAGATTATCTGCCAAGACGGACGATAAGCTGTTCTAACTTCCCGACCGCGCTGAAAAGAAAATCTCCGCCGGATCCAAGCTTCGTCGTCACCGTCTGCCCTCCAACACGAGCAGTTTTTCATATCTGTTGATGAGATGTTGTACGAGCTGATTGCAATTGTATGCCCAGTTTACTCCGCTTATTGTTGGCTTCTTTGTTCTGACTGATTGCTTCTCACAGGTCCGACCGGGCAGCCTCAACGAGGTCCGAGAGTACGTCTCACCATGATCCCAGGAGTCGTCTACCTATTTCCGAGAATGAATATCTTGCTTACGACTGATTTTTTGCTACAGAATCGCCCGTAATGCTGGCCTCCAGGTGCTGCGTTCCGGCGGCGTAGTCCGCGGCTACACGAACTGGGGCACCTTTCGCCTGCCGAAACCCACCACGAAGCACCAGGCTCGATACACCGAGGGCCACCACTTCATCATGCGCTTCGACGCGTCCGGACCCGTCCAGGCCGCCGTCCGAAGAACCCTCAGCCTCGACCCGCGGATGATCCGGTTCGCCGTCATAAAGTTGGGGTCCAAGTTGGAAGAGATCAGAGACGTGGATGGGAAGGTCGAGTGGAACAGCAACCAAAATCTTTCCGACACGATTTCTCGCTACTGAAGACGATAAGAGCGAAAAACTTGGGGAATGAACAAAAAGGGCAGTTTAGATCATTGGCTGCGAGGGTAGAGATCCTATCCTGGGAGGAGCAGGAAGCGCATCGCTTGCTGGTATTTACCGGCCCTCTGTCTCTTTTTTTTTCTGTCCGTCATCTGTCGTCTTGACGGCCTTCTCTTTTCTGTTCTTGTGGATTTGTAACATTTCATGGGAATGGCGGGAAAGATACTATCATACTCTGTATTTTTAGCAGTGGCATTTCAGGCGTCTATCAATGGCTTCTTTTTTGATGTCTCAAGCAGTGGTCAGTTTATATATCACTGTCCTCTTCAAGATTAGGCGGCCGGGAGAGATATCTGGGCTATACAAAAGCATCTACGTCCTTGATCTGGAGCAAAAAGTATCTCACGGAACGGACTACCTGGAACCTATCCAGCTAGAAGGCTGGATGACGAACATACAGAGTTGACAGGTTTTCAGAATCCAGCAAGAGAATGGAGATCACAGGCTGTCTCAATAGGTGTTGTACCAGGTACCTGGCTCTTCAAGCGATGATGTGTCTCAGCCAATAAAATGCTGCTTTTCCAATTACTTTTTTGTCCAAATTATTGAGGATGTCGTATCTTCCAACCTCCGATCTTCGTGTTCATAAGGTAATAATATCCTCGTCTCTTCGGGTATCGCTCCAATCGTGGCGGATCTGTCTCTCTTAGCGGCGGGCCCCGGCTCACCAACCAGTCAGGGATCAGATTGTCGTATACAAAGTTCCGAACAATGCTACCTAGGTAGTTGTTCACATGAATGAAAACAATAACATTAATGATCCTCACCCGTCCATTCTTCATATCTGCAGTCGATTACCGAAGTGGAATTGAATTTCGTTTTTGAATCTGATCAGACCATTAGAAGGGAGATTGCAAGGCAACACATGCATGTACTACAAATGTAGTTCGATGTCTACGGCCATGCTCCGACGGTCTATGGACATTATGTTGAAAGACTTCTAATATCCGTCTTCGTCTGCACACACACATATTCTTGACGCTGTCTTTGAGATATCCTCTTCTCGAGATTTCTACAGTAGCGGACACAACCCGTTCAGAATCACCATGTCGTTGGGCAACCCACCCAAGCGGAACCCGCCCTTATCGTTCATGGAGTTGATGGCTCTGGAGAGAGTCGGCGATATTCCTCCAAGCAACAACGTGGAAGCTGAGAAAGTGGAACATTTCCAATCCATCGCCCCGCCGTATGCCCCCGGCATTGCCAATGTCGCCTTTGGAGGCCATGTGTATGCGCAGTCAGCCTACGCAGCGTCTCAGACGGTCAGCAAGGGTTTCGTTCTACATGTGAGTTTTTCGAACGCATGCTGGTGTAATGGGAATGGAACGATTGAGTTTTTGCGCAGAGTGTGACAGGCTTCTTTCTCCTACCAGGCCAGCTGGATGTTCCTTTTGTCTACTCAGTCCGCCATGTTCGCGACGGCGGAAACTACTGCCTACGCGCTGTGGAGGCCAGGCAAGAAGGCAGGGTTTGCTTCTCTTCCCTCTGCTCCTTCAAGCGTCCGGAAGCTCAGCAGCATAATTCCAGCCATCAGCCTCCTTTCTCAGAGCTCGAGAAACGCTATGAATCCGTTCTTAAGGGGAAAAGTCCGGAGGATCATCCCATCGCACCGGGGATCGACTCTCCGTGGTATATACAATATGTCGAAGCTGGCAAGATTCAGGAACCAGACTTCCCCGGTGTCGAAGTAAGGAAAGTGGATATGGGACAGTACAACCGAACAGATGAAGTCAAAAAGAATCCACATGAGTACCGCCAATTGCAGTTTTATCGCTTCATTGGCTCCCCAGAACAGGAAACCGGGGCTGTTGATGAGCTCCAGCAAAAATGCAAAGGCCGCGACGGGGAGTACGACAACCTCTTCGCATGCGCCCATCTCTACGCTAGCGATAAAAATTCCCTGTTCATCATCCCCCGCGCTCTCGGTCAGCCAGACGGCTGGACGCACCTGGCGAGCCTGAGCCTGACGGTGATATTCCACCAACATGGGGACAGTCTGAGGATGATCGACTGGGACTCCGGGGAAAGAAAGTGGTTTCTCGAGGAGTTCTGGACCAGCAGATCGGGGGAAAATAGAGCTTTACATGAAACCAGGCTGTGGACTGTGGACGGAATACTGCTTGCAACTGCAGTTCAGGACGGTCTGGTCAAGCTCAAGGGACCAGGAGACTCGAAGATTTGATGTCAGTCGCACATGGGTATAGAGTGTAGATTAGAATTCTAGTTGCATGCTCAGTCGCTTGCAACTAAAGCCTAATGCCGTCAGAGCACGCTCAAAGGAATCTAAATATTTCAATAAGGCAATTGACTCTTACTGTCAATAAAAGACAGACGAGATAATTGTCCTCATTGTTAACTAATTCGGCAAGCGATTTTGCTCCACGTGCACATCGCTTGGCACGTGCGGAGTGGACTTTCCAGCAAGCGGCATGACGCAAAGTCTACTGGCATGGACAACAACACCTTACCCACCCTGCTGTCTCGTATCTCCAAACCTCCAGAGACCACCGAATCCAATGTCTGCCTTCTCGAGTACAACCTGACGCTTGCCAGACAATGAAGCATTTGAGCCGCATCCCGCACGGAGAATGAAGAAGACGCTTCTCCTTGTGTTTGTGCACGGGTTCAGGGTGGGTCCCGCTACTATACACTCCGCATGGTTGCACATGAAGGGCTACAGCTGATTCCATATTGCCTTCTGCGCAGGGCGGCAATGATACCTTTGGGAATTTTCCGGAGCAGCTGGTCGCTCTTGTCAGCCATGCTCTTCCCAATATCGACGTGCTAGCGCTCACGTACCCGAAGTACGAGACGAGGGGCGAGCTGAAAGACTGCGTCGCCAGGTTTCGAGAATGGTATGTATTTTTATGGCCTTATGATCTCTGCTTCTTCTGTCTCCAACTGACAAGATGTGCGACAGGCTTCAGGACAAGGTCATAGACCTTGAGGTTGCGAACCAAACGCCGTCGCCAACGATCGATCCGTCTGTTCATGTCATTTTGCTTGGGCATTCGATGGGCGGCATAGTGGGCGCGGAGACTCTTCTTCTGTTGGCTTCTGAGCGGCCGCTTCCTCCTCCCTCCGGACGATCGGTGGAGTCGGCCCCTTTCTTCATGTTTCCACATATCCAAGGCCTTGTCGCCTTTGACACACCTTTCCTTGGCATCGCGCCTGGAGTCGTATCACGCGGGGCTCAAGAGCATTACAAAGCCGTATCCACGGCGTACAATGCCTTGTCCGAAGTGGCGGGTTTGCTTGGTATTGGAGGGAACAAATCTACCTCTCGCACAGCCGCGACGGCTTCGACTCAGAAGGCCTCTACGCCCTTGGCACTGCCGGCTGCAACAGGTGATTCCACCTCCGACGATGCAGCAGCAACTCCATCATGGCAGCGTTGGGGCCGATACGCCATGTTTGCGGGCGCTGCAGGAGCAGTCGCTGCAGGTGGAGCAGCAGCGCTGTATTCACAACGAGACCGCATCACGGCTGGATGGAGCTGGGTGACCTCCCACCTCGAGTTTGTGGGCTGTCTCGCGCGGCCTGCAGATCTGCGCAAACGAGTCGCATCCCTCACCGATCTGCACAAAGATCGGGAGATCGGCTGCGTCAATTTCTACACATGTCTCGGCAAGGCTGCCTCGTCGTCAGCGGCTAGCAGCGGCAGCACTACCGGTCAAAAAAGAGCATCATCATCGTCATCGTCATTCATTCTACGCCTCCCACAGTCCAAGACTCGGACCTTCTGCCAGCTACCGGAAGACTTTGACCGCAACGACGCAGCAATCACCACCGAATCCGGACTGAGATGGATCGCCGCTACGAACGACAAGGCTCGCGACGAAACGACAGCACACACCACCATGTTCACACCCAGGGACAACCCGTCTTACTTTAAACTCGCCCACGACACCGCCGACACGATCGTGAAGTGGGTAGACGAAGGCTGGTACGCGTCCGCGACCCGACCTCATCAACATCGGCATGAGAATGGTGGTGGCGGGCGCAGGCGCAAAACAATCAATCAGGGTCCGCCAAGGAATGATAAGCAAATTATTGAAGTGGACAATAAAGGGTTTATGGAAGCGGACGATGTCGTGGTTGTAAATAAATAGATAAATAGATAAATCAATCAATTAAAACTAGTAAACTACCTAGACTGGCCTGGCCTGGCCTGGCCTAGACTGGACTGACTACCTAACCTACATAATGTATGTACTGTACTGTATGCACTCCGTACTAGACTACTACATAGACAAGCAATATGATACGTCATATGTCACTGACGGTCTTCTTCCATTCTATTAAAGACAAGACAAGGGTGCTATTAACCAAACCAAACAAAAGAAAAAAAGAGTATGAGTAATAACATTCCATTCCCAATATTTGATAACATTCGATGTGCAGATCCATACCTAAAATGATTATTAGTTATAGAAGAGTCCATGTTTGTACATCCATGCTGAAGGGAAGTGCAAGATTGTTTGTTTCATCGCCCTGTTTCTTTTTTCCCGTGCATACACAAGAACAGAACATAAAACTAATTCCATCGAATAAAAAAATAAGAAGGGAATAATCATGACAAAAGAAAATAAAAAAAAACTACGGAATTATATACAATTGTAGCAAGAAAAAAAAAGAGGATAGGTCGAGAAATTTCATCAGTAGTTGTGACCGCCCATGGTCGAGTTTCGGTAGTGCATACTGGGAGCGTACTCCGATGCGTTGTCGGGGTACATGGTCATCCGTCGGTCCTCCTCTTGAAGGAGTTCCTTGACTTCCCATGTATTTTGCTTGAGGCCCACAGAGAATTCGAGGTCTTCTTTGGTGATCGAGTCCCAATACTAAAGAACATTGTCAGTTCACAATCCTCATCCAAATCGACTGGACAACAACTCACCTTGTAGACCATCATGACAGCCAGGAGATTGCAGAATGTCGCGAAGAACAGACCGTCCAGGTAGTGCTGCACGTTTTCACAAATGGTCTCACTAAAGGCGTAGAGGAGCACCTGCCCGACGATAAAGACGAGCACACCGAAAGCAATGTGGCCCAACGGCCACCGGTCCTCGAGCGTGTTCACCACCAGCAAGATCTGCATGCCAACGTAGACAGCAAGGCTGATGGCGTTGAGGATGTAGATTACCACAAACATGCCGACAGTATTCGTTGGACCCAGGCCCCCCAGTCCCTTGAAAGTGAACAGGGAGACGATGAAGGATATGGCGAACATGCCCAACGAACTAAGCCGCAGGAGCCAGACCGAAAGAGTCGTGCCATCCTCATAGAGCTGGAAGCCCACAAATCCGTTGATCAGAAGACATGTACAAAGCGCAGACGCCAATCCATTCTGCGCTGCGGCGAAGTAGGGGAAAGGGCCACTTCCGGGCGGGACGACACCTGCATCCAGAACGAGCGAGCACATAGTCAAGAGCATGTAAATATAAAAGAATGTGGTGATCTCCTTGCGTCCTGTAATTGACTTTCATTAGCCGATTGTGACCAACGCTCCCACGGTTCGCGAGAACCTACCGACGGCGGTGAACTTGGACCGGACATGCAGAATCATCACTGCTGTCATCCCGAGTGCCAGGATATGCATGAAGTCTGCCGCTCCCTCAAAGATAATTGTGTTGGCCAGCTCAATATTGCGTGCGTAGCATTTCGGTAAGATGCCGGCGGAGCCTTGGATTGACGACGGTGGGCCAACCAAAGAGCATAGTGGTAGAGGTGTCTTGCGACAGATCGACTCAAAATCCCCGAAGCCCATGGCGTAGATGGAAAATAGTTGATAAATTCACACGGCAATGCGGTCAGCGGCAATTCGGTGATGGAGATGGACAGGTGGTACGGCGCTAACGAACGAGTGAACCAAGGCGCAAGGGCCAAACGACGGCAAAAAAGATGGACGGATGCGGTCAGCGAGCGTTGTGGGATCGATGTAGGACGTTAGAGAAACAGCGAGGACGTCCGTACCGTACCAAGGGCGCCGATGAGGCTCTTGGGTCGGTGGTTGCTATTCCAACCTCATCCTCCCGCTCGGGACTCAGCCTGTTGTCTCACTTGGCATATCACGTGGGAATGGGGATGTTTTGCTTTCCCTTTTCTGGGCTAGTTCTATTCTTGGCTCGTCCTTTCACGTGAGTGCCTCCATTGGCTCCTCCCCTGGCGAATCGGAGTCGGCAGCGGCCATCAAAGACGGCCCCGCTGCTTCCTTACCTGCTCCGGAATGGCTCCTTCCCCTAGCGAAACGCCTTCCAAGGCTGAAAAGTCAAAACCCAAGCCGGCAGGAGCGCCTAGGCGTGGCTAAGACTTCAACCGGCGCGCTCCTTCCCCGGAATCGACTGACCCCTTGTCCGCCTCTGTTGACTCCATGCATCTGCCGCAGGGGTCCAAACAGAAAACTAACGTGGACGTCTCTGAAACGCCAAAAAAATTTATTCTTTTCTGGGCATCAAGACCAAAATCCTGCTGGATCCTTCGCCCGCCGTTCTTCCAATCCTGATTGATGGTGATGACGCAACGTGAACAACTATCGATAAGCAAGCAGATTAGATTGCCCACTCCAACCCCCCACCTTGATGGAGAGATCTTGGCCTTGCGGCCTTGGGCTTTGTTTGAGAATGCTAATCGGATTGTCAGGATTTGCCACAAAGGAATCTACGAAGTACCGTAATCTGGAGCATCGCCCCGCCATCCACGGCAAGGAGGTGCACTAAGCTGCACTATGAGACTGGGAAGCTACATCACAATTTTATTGTGGATCTGAACTTGCCTCTGCTTCAGTCGATGACGATGCCCAGCAATGTTGAAACCAACTCTCTCTGCTTGTAGCCGCAAGGTTCCACCCTAGTCATCCTTGTGATCATCCACGCTGTTTTCGTTTTCGGGGGAGCATCCTTGGACAGCTCAAATCTCGATCTCACTCTCCTTGTCTGTGTACACGGGGACTGTCGGGATTTCCCTGGTGGAAATGAGAGGCGGTCGGACACAGCTCCCCGGCTGCTCTTCTGTTGCCTTCCTTTTCTCGATAGACTCGTCTGGTGGAGCACTGTCACTGTCACATGTGGCATCGCCTGATCTTTACCCGAAATGCGGTCTGGCGTCACCGTCAGTGACACCCAACCGTTACCCCGTTTCGGGGAGGAAACAAGTCGGCTTGCTTGCCGGAGATATCGGTGTGTCAGTCAGTCGCTCGAAGCGACCCCTTAATACCTAGCGATTTTCGGTGTCCGTGCTGCATCACAGTGGCGGTCCGAGCATCCTTGATCAGGGATTAGTGCGCAGTCGTTATCGATTCGATTGCGTGTGAGACTGCCAGGGAAATGACACCACGGAGTACAGAATACGGCATTTTGTCCCTTCTTGCAAGAGCCCTTTGGGCTAGTTTGCTCTGGTCGCTGATAATCTACAGCCTGATTCCCCTCCATGAATTGAAAAGTAATTGCTGATTCGATTTCTGTCATGGCCGGCTAATTCAAGGATTGGTGTCTTGATTCTTTTTTTCGACCCTGGTTTGAAACCATCCACCACAAATCAGCCAGCAGCCTCATTTTCTTTCAGAAACATTGCCTTTGTAACCAATTGAAATATGTTCTCTCCAGACCCATCTTGCTCCACATTTCTTTTCGGATCCCTCGTCCACCGCCTTGTATCATCTGAATCCTACCGGCAAAGCTTGTGGCCATGAGCCCTTGTATATATAGATGAAGATCCCTGTTAGCGCCACGTGTGAAGAAGGATCAACGGCTGCTAGCGACGCAGTCGATCTCCCATTGACCCGGAGTCGAGCTAATATCCTAATGTGGATACCCGATTCTTGTTTTTCTTTCTAGGACGGTGGGACGGCTTCCTGCAGGTTATCTCCCGAGACTTGTCCACAGCGACAGCCGAAACTTCCCTCCAAGGTCAGTCAAGACCCGCTACTCCACTCCGATTAAGGCAGCTTGCAGTGTCTCTTGCTCCAGAAGGCTCTCTAGAATGAAAGTTCTTCACCATTTATTTTTCCTTGCAACGCTCGTCTCGCGGGAATCCAAAAAAACGTAGTCGGTGTCTGCTTGGTCGACATGCCGTCTTTGCTCGCAGACAAGCAATTCCCTACGACGAAATAGCTGTTTTCAAGTCATCTTTTTTTTTTCTTTCTCTATGCCTAGATCCTCGTTGGTGAATCCTATCTAAGTGATACACATTCCCTTTGGTCTCCATCTTCGAGCTGAGGGCACTAAATCTAGTCAGGTTGGGAATCAATTGCTCTCGTCGTTGCCAGGCGATGTCCTAGCTGATCAAAGTCTGTGGCATCCAGATTCCTGCACATTCCGTATGGAATGATCGATATGTGCAACTTTTTCAAGAATTACTACATCTACACTTCATGTCGCGACCCCGCCTCTCACTTTTTCCGGACGTCTTTGGACGGTTCAAGAAACGGCAGGTGCCCCGATAGCCCTCATGACAGATTCATTGTGGTCGTCGGAGTGTGTCGAATATGTTGTCGCTGATCGCTTGTTTTTCGCGAGCGCTTGGCTCGCGGGTATAATAATCCTCGTCGACAATTTTTGCCTCAAGAAAGTCTCATCAAAATGTTGGTTTCTTCTTTGGATACCCTCTACGCGCCTCGATTCGCATAAACAAAAAGTTTTCTTTGCGTTGGACCTTTAATCCTTGGTTACAAGCATTGGTTAACTGGATAATTTTGGCGATGGCACTGTTTACACACTTTGGTTGGATGCGTTGGGCGTTGGCAGGAATTTCCCCCATGATTAGACGTCATAGACCAGAGTTTTCCCTCTCTATCCAAATTACGACTTGTGTATTCTTAACCAGACGTGTGCGAAGCTTGGCACGCTGTTTCCATTGGGTCCATTTTTTAGATCTTATCACATGCTGGCTCAAACCACCCACACCCCAACCTGTACAGAGCGTACTTATGGAGACTGCAATATGACAGGCCCTGGTGTGTCTGTATGCGTGCGGTAGGACGGTCTGGCCAATCTCCCATACGTCTGATCGTCCGGAGATCCGAGGACGAAGTGACAAATATCTGTGTCCAGTCCTCGAGACGATGGCCGAATAGGAAACGCCTAGTTGTGATCTAACTCCTGTAGGGATGCGTCCTACCTAATGATAAGATCGCTAGGACTCTAGCGCTGAGTCTGGTTTGGCTAACGAGCGGAGACGCCCAGAACTCCACCCTGCTTCCGATTTCCGACGAGGGTGTCGCTGTATACCTCCTGCACGCGCAGCCACCGCGACCCCACTTGGAGACAGGTACGCGCATACTGCTCGGGGAATAGCTCCAATGGTGGTCGACTTTGTCACCATGCCATTCGCAACGTCTGCCATTGGGAAGAGGAGAGGTATGGTGTCTGCCTCTGCAGATCTCGTTTCCGATAAAGTGGCGATATGAATACTGCAATATTCCGTAATGAAGGCATCGATCGACCGACTGCAGCCTCCGCAACGGTCAGACGTTTTACTAATTCTGCCGGTTCCCTGAAGATTGCGGACGGCAATTGCGCAACCACGAGACCCCTGTCTTTTATTCATCCTTCGGCCCACTCAACGGCCGGAATCCTTGTCAATCGAGCAAAGATGGGGTTGCAGATTCAAAATCCATTCTATGGACACCAAGCACTAAGTGTGACTCGACCTGAGGCTTGCACAGAGGTACTCGATAGTTGCTGGCTCTGCAGCTATACAGATCGAGTACGGAGCACTCGGTTGTATAACATGTTGAGGGTCGATAGAAAGGAAATGCTGATCAAGGTGTGTTGTGATCGCGGTCACCACCAACCACTCGTTATCTACGGCAGCCAATCTGGTGGCGTTTCTAGCCCATGTTCGCGTCAGGTGCAATTAATTTTTATACATCTAGACCGTCTGCAAAATCATCATGCATTTATTGACATCCGCGTTGCACCGTCTAGCTGCGACCTGTACACCACAGCCAGATCTTCCGCGGCGAGAGGTCCAGCTTTTGTGTGGGTCCTCTATCTACTCCTTATTGACAGCGTCCTTCGCACGGGACTCCTACAGAGTACTCCGTACACCTCGGATGTTTCGTATTCGATTTGCAAGTAGTAGCTTACCTCAATATTGCTCTCTTTGGACCAAAATATGCCATTTGCGGTAATCTGTTCTCACATCCATTGCGAGGTATTCTACGACGTTGACCATTTACTCGATAAGGCATGGAATCCACTATGGAGTAAAGCTCGAATGACAGACCTAATCGAGCTCAACAGGTCGTTTCTCGCTAAGCTGTAGGGAGTACTGAACACTCTCCTATTTGCCTGGCAACTCACCAGTTACTCACAGGCCAGCTTCATATCAGCGGTGGTAGTGGTAGGTGCCACAAGTAGCCTTACATTGCACCATCACCTCTGATTTGGCGACTTCTAAGGACTGACTTCCAAGCTTTGTCGTTCCTTGAACAAGATCAGATGAAGCCCTGCTGTTCAATATCATATGAAGAGTTTGTCAGCTGGTTCATTCATAATGGATACGACTAATACGAGCAACAGAGATGTCTATCTGATGAGAAATACCGTGGCTAATTAGTATTCTAATCTAATCCAGATATGGCAGCAGGCAGGCACGACTCCAGACTCCGAACTCCGTACTACTATCTGTAATCTGCATATTAATTAAGCTCGCCAACGGCCACTAAACAAATGGTGGGGTTCAATCTCAGTTATTAGGGCAACTGGAACGCCATCCGAAGTGGGTACAGTAGTAGTAGCTGCACTGCGTACGGGGAACTGCGTACAGCACATGTAACACACTCTTTAAGTAAGCATACGTATTGAGTCCGTGCTGTTGCTGTGCTGCGCATAAGAGGTCAACAGCATGAAAAAAAAAAGTGTGTGTGTGAAAAAAAAAGATATTTTTTTCTCCGTCCCATTATTGGACCATTTCGGCATTCCTTACCTCGTTCACTAAGGTACCTAGGTATCATGTATATACCTTGCCTATCTAGGCAGGTAGATAGGTAGATCGGTACCTTGATAGGTAGATAGGTCTAAGGTAGGTAACAAACCCCTTATTACTATTATAACAATTATATTTATAGTACTCCATACAGGAAAGACCAAGGAAGAAGGGATCTGAAAGGAAGGGAAGGGATAGGATTATTGACCAATCAATGCTTCGAGTCTCGACTCTTTAGCTGTACTGTACCTACGTACGTACGTACGGAGTACTTTGCTGATCATGCAGTTCGCTTCACTTTAGCTACAGTACCATTTACATACGTACGTACGTACGTACCTGCCTGCCTGCCTACCTAGTTTAGGTACGGAGTACAGTACATGTTCATGTAGGTATGTACTGGACATAAAGTACTACTACTACCAAAACTGGAGAACTCTCTCTCTCTTTCTCTCCATAATAACTAATAAATTATTTCCATTTAAATACCCTACCTTATTTTACCTACCTACCTAAATTAATAATGACTGCAGAGTGCATACATTGCATACATTGCACTAATAGTCTCCTGGTCACTTAGGTTAGGTACCTACGTACCTATCTACTAGGAGGTAGGGAGGAGTGGATCCAGATCGGAGAAAAAGAAAAGCCACGGTGAGAACTTAATCCTGAGACCTCAGACAACAGACCCTGACTTACTCCGTAGTTACTTTACTATACCAGTAACTACACATACAGAGTAATAATACCTTTCTATAACCTCGATCGCATGTGCATGTTACATGATATATGTATTCCGTACAGAGGACAGTCCTTACTGTACTTAGGTACAGAGTAGTATGTATGTACATAAAGTGGGTTAAGTATTTTGAGTTGAGGTTGATGATGACTCTTGTTCTGCAGAATTTGTTTTGCTTGTTTTGCTTAACTATGCTCCGTACGTATATACTCTGTAGTATCTATCAATTTGCTTTGTATGTATGTATGTACTGTACGTATATATATGGACATACATGTATATAGTTGGGCTTAGGGTTAGGATTGGTTAAAACTCAAGGAGTTATATTGTAGTAGCTAGTACTATATTATATAAATCTGAATCAACTAGTCTTCTTTTATTTTTTTCTGGCGGAATTATACCTCAATTACTAATGTTCCATCAATAATAAACACCCATCAACCGCCGCAAACTCGAACTGCGGATCCTCCTCGTCTGCCCGATATCGACTTCCTCGCCCGGATGGGCCCGGAAGACTGGCAGTGTTGAGACAGATGATCTCACGCTGTTGTGTCGAGCGGACGGCGTCATCGCTTTGGCGGGCTGCGATAGTTGATCACTCTCCGCTGCCGTTTTAGGAGATGGACTCTCCAGGAATGAAGATAGACGTGGCTTCTCCTCCTCCTCTACTGAACGCGTCTGACGTGGTATTGGAGGAGTCGGGGGATAAGGCGGGTTGCCATGGAACTTACTGCGCCTCTCGACGATCGGCGGCGGCAGCAACACCACTCCGCTCGTCTGGCGCTGGCGCTGTCGCTGCTGCCGCTCGCTTTGGTAGTTCACCCAGCTGGATATGGACCGGAAGCGAGGGGGCTCGCTGTCATCCGTCATCATGGTCTCCCGGTTGGAGGAGCATGCAGGGGTCGTCGGGGCCGTGCTCCAGGAGAAATACGACATCCATGGCCTTCTCGTCTTGGCTGTTGGCGGAGGGTCGGATTCAGACTCACTTTCTCGCATCAGATCGAGGAGCTCCTTTTCGTTCTCTGTCCTCCAGGACCCGGAACTCCGGGTTTCAATCGTAAGACGCGCCTGAGCGGGGCGCGTTGTATTCTCAGTAGCTTTCTCAGACGCCGTCACCGTATTCGATTCTGAGTCACGCTCACGTAAGGACGGCTTTCTTGCAACTGTCTCTACCAACCCAGCATCCAACTCTTGTACGGTCATCGTCACCGGTCGAGCTTTGGATTTGTCGGGCCAGACTGCTCCATCCCCGCCATCGCCCAATGGAGCCCATTTGCGGTCGTCGAATTCAGATGACCTCTTCCGTCGAGTGAGACACGACCAGAGAGTGAAACCCGGTCGGTACTTCCGTCGTAACGTCAGAAAGACAATCAGACACACAATCATCGAAAGTCCAACTAGTAGTGCGTTAGTATGACTGACAGACAGACAGATGAAGAAACAGTCTACCAACCTGTTAACCCGACGACCAGGCCTGCTTTCTCAGCACCTGTCTGCAAGGCCGAACTTTGGTAGTGATCGTTCGATGGTGACGAATGGTACTTCTTACAAGCATCTGCATCCTGACTGGTGGTTGAAGCTTGGTCCTTGAGGTAGCAGTCTCGTTCTGGAGTAGCCGCAGCAGCTGCAGCAGTGATAGTGACTGTCGCCGTCGCAGGTACGGGGATAAAAATAGGGGTGGTGGAAGATGGTACAGGCTGGGCACGTTGAATTTCATCATCGTCATCGCTATCGTCGTCGTCGACGTCGACAGCGTCGTCGTCACCGTAACGGACCGTCAGGGATTTCCGATTTCGACTAAGCATACGTCTTCGCGAGGTGAATCTTCCACTCGAGGAGGTTTCCTGCATATATGCGGGAAGGCTTCGCTCAGCGAGAGCATCCCAAGACCTCTCCGAGATGCGATCTTCATCCATGGCGGGAGGTCTTCAAGAGATAACTTTGACAGATAACCTGGAAGTCGTCCCAGAACCATGCAATGTTTGCAATATTCGTCAAGCAATCCAGGTAAAGTGGAAGGAGAAAACAATGCCTTTAATCTAGCAGTCCAGCTGCAGACGTCAGAAAACACGCAAAAATAAAATAAAACAAAATAAAAGTAGAAGACGGCAGGCCAGCCCGCCAGCAAGAAATGAAGATCCAAATAGGGGAAAAAAAGAAGAGAGAGAGAGAGAAAGAGAATAAAGAGTAGCAGAAGAAGAAACGACAGAGGAAGAGAAAAGAAAGAAGCAAATCGTCAGCCAGACAAGTAAGGTACTCTGTAGAGAGAAGAGGCCTTTCCCAGAAAGACCGTCGACCCCGACAACAGCCACTCAGCCAGCAAGCCAGCAAGCTAGCTGGAACAAAAAAAAATGACCTTGCTTGAATGTCAAATAAGAAAAAAGAAATAGTCAACAACAGACCAATCCAATCAATGAGATGAGAACATTTTTAAAACGACAAGAGTCTTGGAATAAAAAAAGAATTCCAGCTAGCCTGCCATGGTTCAGGTGGCTGGAAAGCATTAAGGAAAGAAAGAAAGAGAGAAAGAGAGAGAGAGTCTAGCATAGCCTCCTAGCCTCCTACTCTTGGTGTCTCAGAGTCATTCATGTGGATGCGGATGGATGGAGACAGTTTGTCTTGTCTCGTCATGCTAAGAATACTACTAGCAAGACGTCTAGACAGAGCTAGAACTAAATTTGGTATAATTGTCTAAGAAGAAGGAGGAAGAGAAGGAAAGCAGAGGACAGAAAAGATAGAAACCAAAAACCAGAAAGGAATAAAGAGCTTACTTTAAAAAAAAAAGGTTAGGATATGTATGTATGCAGTAGACAAGCAAGCTGTGGAATTGTCAAAGCTCTTTTCCTTCTTCTTCTTCTTCTTCTGACCGACTGACAGACTTCCTGCCTGACTGGACTGTCTGGCTAGCTATTAGCTATTAGCTAGCTAAGGTAAGCTACCTGATACATACCTAGGCACAGCCATGCCATTAGAAACGAAACAAATCCAAAACCGTGACGATTTTCTTTCTGCTCAAGTGTCAAACTCGTCCTGTCTTTGGAACTGAGTATGGGCAAATACATTGTATGTAGCAGGGTAGTTAGCACAGTACATAAATAAGTTATTATTATTTACCACTGATCAGTATTTATTTAGAGTGTAGGAGTTACAAATTGCTCCTAACTGTGTACAGTACCTAACATTTCTTTTTTGTTTTGATTTTTTTTCTTTAAAAAAAATTGGACGCTGCTCTGCTCTTCAGCTCCTTGCGCGGTGTGCAGCATAGTAAGGAGAGAAATAATATATCATGCATAGTAAATAATAATTG